ACACTGCTGGGGGCAGAGGGTTTAGCCCGTGGTCAGAGCTAAGGTGACTCTGGCTCTGTTGATAAACACTTCCTACCCGGCCTGGGCGTCTGGAATTCCCAGTTTACCACATAACACAGTTCTCACAGTGGATCAAGACCAGGGTGTTTTCAGAATGCAAGCGCGAATGTCCTTCTAAGTCTTGTACTTGAACTCAGAACCTCAGGTCTCGTTCACCGTTGCGAATGCTCCTCTCACCTTAATATGGGATGCGTTGATGTACCCGGTGTTGTTCTCTTTGGTTGGGACCAACTCCACTCTGGCATCGTCATAGGGAAGCACGTCCTGGAATCGGTTTCTTTCGGCATTTTCCGGGAGTCGTGCCGTTGAGCACTCCCCATCGACCAGCCGTTTTTTAAGGATTCTTTCATATTCTGTGAACACCATTCCCTGTTCCAACCGCTGTTCCAGAATTTTACACTGTAAGCGGAATGCGGGGCGAAGACAGGAGTAAAGTCACAGGGACAGCTATGCATCGACTGTACAGCTGTTTCAGGTCTAGCATTACCTACTAGTGAAAATTCTAGTTGAAACCAGAGTTAAATTTTTACCAAGCCATAACAACAGCAAATGAAATAATCTTACTGATGAGAAATAAAGGCAAAAACATTCCGTTTAGCCCTGGCTGGTTTGGCTCAGTGGATAGAGCATCAGCCTGCGGACTGAAAGGTCCTGGGTTCGATTCCAGACGAGAGCACATGGCTGGGTTGCTCAATCCCCAGTGTGGGATGTGCAGGAAGCAGCCAATCAATGATTCTCTCTCATCATTGATGGTTCTCTCTCTTCCTCTCTGAAATCAATAAAAAAAGATATTTTAAAAAAAACACACAAAAAACGTTTCGTTTAAAGGTGAAAAACTGGCCTAAAGCAATTTGTTGGATTCATTTTCTCTAAGTTATGGTCAGTTTTGTGACCCCTACAAAACAGAAAATTCCCCGTGGAGATCAGTAAATCCTAGAGAAATCCTAGAGTAGGATCATTGATCCCAATATCAATGAACCAATGCTTCAATCTTATAACATATACTTATATAAAAAAACTGTAAAAAGGGGTAAATGCTGGAAACCATCTCCAGGACCCAGTGGTAAACACATTAATTTTTGCTTAGCGTGCTTCATGTCTACCGTGGTTGCCAAGGAAGTTTTGAAAGTTTCCGTAATCCTTTACTATGAAGATAATTTTCAGTGAAATAAAAGCAACATCTGCCCTCTTTCCTGTGTGTTCTCATAGGCATTTGCAGATCTCCTCTCTAACTATAAAGCCATTAAAGACCAAGACTGCCACAGATGGCTGGAAGGAGGTAAAGAACATTCAGAAAAAAGAAAAAAAAAATTCTAGCCTGAACTTATCCCTTAAGACATTAGCTATAAATCTGCCCCAAGTTTGAGGTCCAGATCACAAAATTCCTTAACACTCATTCATGATCCCTGAATGTGTTAGAAAATGCACTGGAATCCCAGGAAGCAGACGTGCAGCACGTTCCCAGCTCTCCCGGGGAGGGGACCGGCCCGCTGTACGTACCCTCTCATCATTGGTGGCTCTGGCTGACACGTCCTTCCCCTCGTCGGGCAGAGGCAGGCGAGACAGCGACAGTCCATTCAGGGCAGCCAGCTTGAGAGGGCCCATTTTTTTTGCATCTACTCGGCTCTTTTTCATTCCCTATAAAGATATTTACATGTATATGTGAAATAGACACAAGTGCAGCCCCTTGGAAGAGAAACTGGACTGCAGACTGGAAACAGACAGGAGAAATTGCGCTCCCTCACACACACGCGCACACGCTTGTTTAACAGATATTAGGAGGGTGACATTCCTTTCAAGGCCAAAGCCCTGATAAGTCGCCCAGATAGGAGGTTTTGAAATGCAGCCGGTTTCGGGGTTCTGTTGTAATGAAAGGTGAGGTTCCCGGCAGACAGCATTCCTGCACAGAACTCCCCAATTTCAACTCGGCACACCAAAAAATCAGCTGCTGTCCACAAAAAGGGTTTTAAATACAATCACCTGATTGCAATTAGCTTTGATGATTTTTTTAAAAATCTATAAATTAGTTCTTTAAATCATTCTGAAAAAAAAATGGAATGTTTTCTGTGGTAGCTTGCTGTTCTGTTCTGCAAGTCTGTTATGTTTCAGGCTTGTGTGACCTCAGTTGGATCACCACACCTCTCAGAACCGCCACGTTTTTAAACCAGGAAAATCAAACAGGGCTGAAATCTCCATCACAATATTAGAAAGATCGGATATAAGAGAACACGTCATCATATCCTGCCGATGTGGCTCAGTGGTTGAGCATCAACCCACACAAAGAGGTCACCTCCGGGTCAGGGCACGTGCCCAGGGTTTCGAGCTCGATCCCCAGTAGGGGGAGTGCAGGAGGTAGCCCATCGATGTTGATGTTTCTCTCTCATTGATGTTTCTATCTCTCCCTCTCCCTTCCTCGCTCCAAAATCAATAAAAATATATTTATAAGAGAGAGAGAGAGAGAGAGAGAGAGAGAACATCAACAGAAGCTCTCTCCTGGGAACAGGTGTTCCTAAACTTACTGTTCAAGTGAATGATTGTCTCTAAGGCAAATAAGCCTAAGAATGCTAAGTTTCCTTAGCTAGTCTACACCTCCTTGGAAGTCACAATTATCCTAACAACAGTGGCCCCAATTTTTAAAAAATGGTTTTCTCAGTTCTGTCTCATAAATGAAACCAGCTCTACCAGCCTGGGAGGTAGGGAGGAGGAGGGAGACGGGAACAGAGGGAGAGAGGGAGGCTAAAAGGTTCCTGTACAGGCGAAAATTTCATGATTCTAACGTGTGCAAAACACAGTGGTAGGCTGATACATTTTCACCACCTGGCCCTCTCCCGGGGTGCCGGGGGGGGGGGGCGGGGGGGCGGTTCTGATTTGTAAAGTTTGCCAATTTCCCTGGTGCAAATACTCCCACCATAGCCTATTTTCAACTGTCAATGTAACACCAACTGAATCACAAGAGTCCTGAAGGTTTAACGGTCAGTTCTCACCAGCCAGGATGGGGTGGGTCAAGATGCCCTGACTGGGATCAGCTGGAGGAAGATAATTTTCAGTGAAATAAAAGCAACGTCTGCCTGTCTTTCAGGTGAGTTTGAAGGCCAGTGTTTGAAGAAAGGGGCATATAGTTAAAAGCAGCCTCAAATACCCCTTTTACTTAGCCCTGAGAGTACAAGCACGTGGCTTTAAACACCTGCAAGTGATTTCTTATGTGAGAACCACTACACGATACTAAGGTTGCAACGAAAAGAAAATCTTTATGCAGCTGCATGAGCACTCAAACCAGTCCACCTTTTCAGATAGCGATCAAGTCCCTGAGGTGGAGATGGGTGGAGAGTTCTAAAGTGATCCTGCTTATCTGCAATTTATGTCACTGTTTTAATCCTAACCTCTATAACCTCAATTCACATTGGTCTGTGAGCTGAGTTTCTGGTGTAGAGTTAAATGGTACAATGGCAACAGGGCTGAGCTATTCAATTCTTGAGAAGCTGGTAAGTTAAATGTATGGTGCCACATCACAGTAATATGTTAAATCTGAGCACTTCCTGTGTGCCAGGAGCTCACTTTGTCTCCCCAAAAACTCTCTGGGCTCATCTTCCTTGACAAAAGAGAAAACTGAGTCAAAGATTAAAAAGCTTGCCCAATGCCAAAACCGGTTTGGCTCGGTGGATAGAGCGTCGGCCTGCGGACTGAAGGGTCCCGGGTTCGATTCCGGTCAAGGGCATGTACCTGGGTTGCAGGCACATCCCCAGTAGATGTGCAGGAGGCAGCTGATCGATGTTTCTCTCTCATCGATGTTTCTAACTCTTTATCCCTCTCCCTTCCTCTCTGTAAAAAATCAATAAAATATATTTAAAAAAAAAATAAAAAAGCTTGCCCAAGATCACACAGCTGCCTCTTTGTATAGAGAGATGGTAATCGGTGTCAAAACAATAAATATACCATTCAGAGGAACCAAGATGGCGGCATAGATTAACGCCAGAGTTTGCTGCCTTGAACAACCACTTCAAAAATACAACTAAAAGACGGAACGGACATCATCCAGAACCACAGGAAGGCTGGCTGAGTGGAAGTTCTACAACTAGGAGGAGAGAGAATAACATACCGAGGCTCAGAGGAGGCGCAGTGCTGAAGTGAAATACTAAGGTGTGGAGTGCGCGGTTGTTGTTTTCAATCGGGAGGGAGTTTCAGACTCTGAGCTCCAGATCCGGGCGAGTCAATAGGGACCCAGACTCAAAGGGGAGAAGCGGGACTGTCTGGCTTTGGTCGCAAATCGAAGGCAGCTTTCTCTCCAAGGTCTGCTGCGGATGCTGAGAATCTGAGAGGCAGAGCCCCTGGGGATGGAACTGAGAGCCGTACAGCTGCTACCCTTCCCATTGGCTAATCAGGGTGGAAAAAAAAAAAGGCAGGGTCCAAACTCAGACCAGTTTCCCCACTATCTGGTCCTGTACTTGTCCCCTGGCCCCAGCTCCCATCACGTTTTTCAAGTAAAGAGAATCCCTTATGGCGGTGGTCGGCAAACTGTGGCCCCTTGAGTGTGGCTCTTCCACAAAATACCACGTGCGGGCGCGTACGTACAGTGCGATGGAAACTTCGTGGCCACACTCAAGGGGCCAAAGAGCCGCATGTGGCTCACGAGCCACAGTTTGTCGACCACTGCCTTATGGGAAAAGAAGGGGAGCAAAAGCACAGCCAATCACATCGTTTTATTAAATTAATACTGAAGGTCTTAAAAGTCAATGAGAGAGAAAATCTGTGATTTTAGGGAACCAAATTGGTCAAAATGCTGATTTAGCAGGACCTGCTAGGCTCACTAAAAACGCACAGTGACAGGAGGCCTGACTACTGGACCACACTCAGATCAAGCATCGTCTGGGGAAAAGACTCGGGTCACATGGAAATGATGGACAGGTCTTGATGTACTCAGGGGAGAGTAATTATGAAAGGGACTGTGCAGCTGGCTCAAAGGCCCAGCAGGGTCGCTGGGGAAGACACATCCATCCCCTGCCCCACTCCGAGCCACTGACTATGGGCCCACACCTTCAGCCAACCTGAGGCAGGGGCCTGTACTGCACAGGTAGGTGAGTAAGAATGTGCTCTCCCCCCAAATTAAAAGTAAACTTAAATTATTCAAACCCAAAATTCATTAAAAGAAAACACAGCTAAAATTAAAAGAAATCCACAGCACGACTGTAAGTAGTTTTAACTGATGGATACTTATCTATTTTATAAGCACAATAACACAGGGGGAATTTTTTCCTATTTATGAAGATGCTTCCAGCATCTCAGAGGATCTGAAATACAAGGCCGGAACCACCCTTGCGATGGGCCCCCATGTCTGAGTTTGCCGCCTGGCGGAGATGAGGAATCCTAGCTGCCAGGACACGGGAGCAATGAGACAGAACGGACAGGTCAGTGCATGGCTGTTGGCTGGGGGTGGAGGCCCAGGCAGTGAGGAGCGGAAGCCTGAGCGATGCAGCGAGACGTCTCAGAGTGGACACCCGGGCAGGCCAAGGCCACTCAGGCGTGGCCAAAGCTTGGGGACTCAAAGTTAAAAGGTTTCCGTGGAAAGGCCGAGAACAGCGAGGCTTAGATAAGCGGTTATTACTTAACAAAACATTATATACAGTATAACTCGCTCGAGAACAGTGGAGCAGATAAGAGAACATGCTGCAGAGATAAACACGGGTTTAAAACTCCAGTTGGTCCCTCACTCGCTCTGCGACCTTGGAAAGCTACTTCATATCTGAGTCTGCTTCCTCGCCCGCAGGAACAATGGGTCTGTTGTAGACCGGGCACGGTCAATGCTATGGAAAGGCAGCTAGAGATGATGTTACGCTCTCTTATATTTTCCTTCCGATTG